AATTTCCTGAGAATATTAATTAACTCTTCGATATATAGCCTCTGGCTTTAAATAAAAATGATATAAACAAAAGGATATTATATACATATTTTTCGAGTAATTTGATTTACATATAAATTTGATTAATATTTTCACACATATAAATTATATCGTGATTAATATTCCCTGGAAAAGTTAATTAACATCCTCGACGAGGATCATACATTCATAATGTATGCGAAAAATCATTTAACATCGGTTTCAAGAATGTCTTTCATAACGGACGAAGCACGATTACAGGAATATTAATTACTTTGTGCCCTAATATTATCACAAAAAAATGAGTCAGCGTCTTGATTAGAATCGCCCTAGCTAATCAATCTCGACGTATTATATACTGACTCAACTATTCTCGTTTAAGTCTTAATAATTATGAAAGATCATATATACATTCGCTGGTCATATTATTCGCGGGGATGACGATAGAAAAGTATATGGTTTACATTATACGTTTACGTTCCGTATATATAATGTTTTTTTTATTACAAGAAATTCTGTTGTATTATATTTTATATCAGCATAATCATCGTGGATGTAATCATCGACTAAAGATTTGAAAAGAAAAGTAAACGAATGAGTTCGACATTATATTTTACGTGGCAGCATTATTAATCTTTTTTAACGATGTTAAGGAATACCTTTAATGATTCAATCGCGCAAATTTGATACGGTCTATTCCTGAAAAATTCTCAGAAAAGCTTTCAAAATGTTATGAATATTATCTTTCTCAAAGTTATATTATTCGTTCTTAAGCGACGATTTATGTTATGCGATAGAATTTTTCTTGTAGAATGTTGTTTTTGAATATAGTCATTTTTTTTACATTAAATAGGCGTCTGTGTGTAAGTAGAGCAATACTGTAGAGAGAACAGTAAAACGTATCACTTAGAATATTTAAAATTTAAAAATACTATATTCGCGCGATTGCCAAAGCTCAGTGACCGTATTGTTTTGATGTATAAGAATGAATTACATTTACATAGATAAGATTTTTCTTATTTTTTTTTCTTCAGAATATATACGACATTGTTTCTTATCGCAAATGCGAACAGTCGCATCGACTGAAGTAATAGTTTGCAATCCGACCCAGTCACGTTTCGCTGTTCTGTTTCCTTCGTTCGCGAAAACATTATTATCCGTCACGATCGAAACGAGATACTTGAGTGAAGTCCGAAAGTATGACGTTATGCTAACGCAAAGACAAATAATTGATGACTCATCGATCGGTCTGTTCTTGCTTGGAGGGGGTCCTAGAAAATTTATATCAAATCCCTCAGTCTTGGACAGTGATTTTTTCCTTCATTCATGAATAATTCTACGTTTGCTAAGTTCTTGTTTCAATGTCTATAGCCAGAAGGGCACCGTATTTACCAATGAACAGTTCGGATTGCGAACTTTTAATGCGGCTTTTGGCTTATCTAGACGTAATTGTATTTAGTTCAGCCTAAGTCCACAATCAATGTAAATTGAACCACTATATTAAAAGTTCTAAATAACGTGAGTTAAATTTTTATTATAAAGAAGAGAAATGAAAGAAAAAAGAGCATTCTTCTGTTTAAAATATGAGTACTTTATCTAAGATTATTTAGAAAGATATTTTATGTATTATAAAAATAATGATAAATTTAACAGCAACAGAGAAAGCTTTTAGATAGCTTAAGAGATTGTACCAAAAAGCTACAATAAAGTTTTTAATAATAAGATAATAGTATATTTAATTTAAGAATATTTAAAAAAATCTCTAAACAATCTTTGAGAAAGAAAGAAGATCGACAGATTAATTTTTGCTGAAAAGATTATTTAACATAGAATTTTATTAAATTCTTTATGTAAATTGCTGTTATATTAAAGAATAATATTTCACCAATATACAAATAAATAGCAGACTTCGATTATAAAGACGGTCATAATCCACGAGAAAATCGCGTTGAATCTGGCACTATTTGTTCGTAACTCTTTTACTAAAAGTGCAATAGATATACTGATATATATGAGGCACCGTTTTATTATGTACAATCATATTTACTAAAAGGAGGATTTGTCCAAGTGAAAAATACGTGGTACGACTTTTTTACGTATTAAATATCCTTTTACGAAAGCTAGAGTATTACCACCGAGAGAAAATTTGAGCGTCGCAACGTATATTATGTACTTCTTTCGTGCAAATCTCTCTCTTTTCACGTTGCCTCGACGTTTCCGTAAGACACTGCGTACCGACGCTGCTAACGATAAAAGTGATGGCAACAATGATCGATGATCGCGATAGTGAAATGACGCAAAGTTGCACACGAGCACGACGCGTTCGTGAAATGCTGTTACTCTAAACTCACCGAGTACTTATGCGATAATTCGTATGTTCTTTCGACACTCGTTGAGTTGGCGTAATTAGAGGGAGAAAAATGTCCTTTATGAATCGCAGCGAATTTTTTTCAGGTCCCATTCACGAGCGGATTGCAGGGAACGCACATGAACACGATCTTGGGAGTCTAAAGCGAATCGTAGCATTAGCTCGCTGCGTGTCCGAGTGATCTGTTTCTGCATAATGAAAGTCAACGACGACGATGCAGACGACAGGGAGGATCGCAGATGATTCCATCGTACTGACGGGCACCTGTACAGCATGCGCTGTCGTGCCCGCGACTCCACGGGCTACACAGCGCAACCTTTCCTCGTGCCATACAGCACCTTCAGCTCCGGCATGATAATCTTCTTGATAAGCGCGTTCGTCTTGGCGGTAAGCATATCGCGATGTGGATCTTTCTTGAAAATCTTGATACCAGGCCGGTGCACTAAGAAGGCGTTGTCCAGAATAAGAAAGTCATAATCGAGAACACAGAGCGCGTAACCCTGCAAACATTCGCAAGCGATAACCTGATAGTTTTTGAAATTGTTTATATAACAGATGATATAAAAGATAGTATCAAGAATCTTATTTTTAATTTCTTAATCCGTTTATAATCCGTTCTTATTTTAAGACTGTTTTAATTTATCTTGTTGTTAAGATGTTAGTATAAGATTTTATAACTGGTTTACGACATAATCTTATGATTTTATATTGTACTTAATAGTCTCAAATAAGAATGAATTATAATTATTTGTTTTAAACGCATATTTCTTAATTATATTCTAATTATAAATTAATTTTTTTATAAATTAATTTTTTTA